TCTTTTTGATACTATCCATTCTGATCAGTCTGAGGTGATACCTCATTATGGTTTGATTTGCATTTCCCTGATGATTAGTGATATTGAACATCTTTTCATTTATCTGTTGGCCAATGATATATCTTCTTTGGAAAAGTATCTATTCAGTTCTTCTGCCCATTTGTGATGGATTGTTTGGTGGTTTTTTGCTTTTGAGTTGTATTGAGTTCTTTATATATAATTTTGGATATGAAGACCCTCTCAAATAGATGGTTTGCCTGGCTATTTTTGAACAACCCAAATCTCATCCTAACTCAGTGCTGGAACAAGGATGTTTCATTAACTTTAGAAATCCTAGTACTTTAAACAGTGCTTCAAACACAACAGGTACTCTCACATATAATTATTCTATTAACCTTCTAAAGAGACAGAGTTCATAAGTTTTGTTTTAAATTATGAGACATGTCAAATATAGAGAAAAGTACCGAAAATCATATCATAGATGCCCAGATTCCCACTGTCAGATTTATAACATTAAACATTTTGCCAAACTTTCTTCAGTTTTTTATTTCAAGAAACAGAATGTTAATACTTATTAGACCCCTATCCCCTCCTCCACCACCTGCATGGCAAGGTAAGCCCTTGTGCTGAACTTGGTGAGTTCTACCTGTTCAGGCTTTTGTATTTTTATTCTTGTAAAGCTTTTATTGTATAAGTATGTGTTTATAAATAATGATATAATAAAAAGTAATTTAGAGCACCATTTTGTATGTGATTTTATTTTTTGTAAATGTCAGATTTTATGCACATTAGAAATCTGTTTATATCATTGGACATTACATTTTTGAGATTCACCTGTGTTGATGCCATTCACTGTTATTTAACTTATCACCATTTGTTTATACATTCCTCTATTATTCAATATTTAGATGACTTCTAATTTTTGTTATTAAGATTTCCAATTTCTGCTCTTTGTACCTCTGTGAACATTCTTATATTTCAGAGTTTCTTTGAGCGACAAACCAAAAGTGGTGGCGCTGGGGTCGGTGATTTGGGGAAATGGTATAAGCATCTTCATTTTTACTGGATATTGCCAACTTGTCTCCAAAGTGGTCGCACCCATTTACATTGCATAAAAGTTCTTTGGCCATTTCCTCACTTGGGCTTGACATTACTAGTCTTGTTAATTTTTGCTAGTCAGTTATGAAGTAATAGTTGTCTTAATTTGCATTTCACTTATTCAAGTAAAGTTTAGAGTCTTTTTATATGGATACTGGCCAGTTCATGTACTTTGTTCATTTTAAATTATTTAACCTCATCCGATTAGTTTGTAGTAGTCGCCTACACTGTGGATAATGATCCTTGCTTGTTTCTGTGTATTTCAAATACCTTTTCCTAATCTGAAATCTGTTCTTAAACTTTGAACTCACTGGCTTTTGTCCCACATTCTTTTTTTTTAATTTTAATATAGTAACATGTTATTAGACCTTTATGGTTTGTGTTTTTATGTCTTCATCAAGAAATTATCCTATGTCATAAAACCTGTTTTTCAAAAAGTTTTAAAGCTTTGCTTTTCCCATTTAGCTCTCTCTTCCATCTGGGGTATATTTTCATGAATGGTTTGAGATAGAGGTCAAGTTTCACATTTTTCCCACATGGAAAGCCACTGGAAAGCACGTGACTGAATCCTTTACCCACGATGTGTACAGCCACCTCTGACATTTCCATTTATCTCTTTTCTGGGACCTCTACTCTGTTCAATTGGTCTACTACTGTTTAAATTATTACAGTTTCTAAATCATAGTATTTGGAAAAATCCTCACTCTTTAGGAAAATTATCTTAGCTATTTTTGGTCCTTCATACTTCCACATGATTTTTATAATCAGCTTGTCAGGAATATCTGCTTGACATTTAGAGTACACTGAATCTGTATATTAACTGGGGAAAACTGACACCTTGAAATTGAGTCTTCATATACAATACAAGGTGCTTCTGAGAAGTTTCCATTGGAACAAGCTCACTAACATGTGGGACAGGCCGGCTCGTCCTCCAACCTGAGATGACAATTATTAACCTACCTCACAACTCTGCTGGGAGAAATTTTAAAAATATGAGGGTGTCTCTTGCAGCTACAGACCTTGGTTCCAAATGTTGGGGAACTAACTTGTAGTTCACGCACTACTGAAATACACCTCAATTAACCACAGCAATAAAATCCAGGGCAATGCCCAAGAGGGCAGGGTAAAACTTTCACCCCGAGTCCCCACATGAGCTCTTGGGGGATGATTATAATAAGTGATTCTGCATGCGATTTCTTTTTCTGAGGATAATCAGAAGAAACGGAAACAGTTTTCCGGTTTCAAGCTGCTGAATTAAACAAGGCTGGATGCCATTGCCCACCCCTGGCCTGCTGAGTGCTACAATCCTGGCTCTTTCTAGAGTTGGGTTGGCACAACACCTAACTGATCACCTGAGTTGCAGAGAAAATAATTCTTCAACAAGTAACCAACAGATTGTGCCTGAATTGGTGCACGTATGGAGGCTCCCTCATCTTTCGCAGGACCTTGAGGGGAAGGCATTTCAATAATCCCTGTGCCTTGATGCCTGCCTTGAAAGTACAGCCATGCCCTTACCTCACCACAGCTGCTTGGCCCCTGGGTCCCTGAGAAGCACTTTAAGCTCCCTTCATATTTTTAAAGCTTAATAAAAATCGTATGAACAGAATTTTGTCAGAAAAAAAAAATGTAACTAGTAGTCCTTTGCTGTCCCAAACTGGCTATCACCACATTGGTTTGGATAATACTGGTGCTTTTTCTGTGCATTTACACAGAACACGCATAATTTTTACATAAAAGAGTCATAATATATACATTGCTCAGAACCTCATTTTTCACTTAACAACATGTGTTAGAGTTTGTTTCATTCCAGGACATAAGAATGTATTGGGTTATTTTAACTGTTGTGTGGTATTCTTTTAGGTCAGTGAACCGTAATTTAAATTCCCACTGCCCCATTGATGAACACTGGGTTTTCTCCCAAACTTCGCTTTATAGGCAGTGATGCATGAACACTTTTATACCTGCCTCATCTTGTACAAGTGTTCAGGAGCACACTTTGCCGCATACAGAGCTAGACATGTTGCTCAGACAAGTGCTGGAAAAACATTGATAAATAGTTATTTATATGGAGCAGGGGGATAAACAAAACAAAGAACTGTTTTACTCTGACAGAAAACAGTTATAAACATGATAACCATTAATCCAACTACACCAATAATCACTTTAAGTTTAAATGATCTAAATACACCAACTAAATAAAAGACAGAGATTGTCAGAATATAAAAAAATCAATACCCAACCATATGCTGTCTACAAGAAACCTACTTAAATGTAAAAACTCGTGTTGTAAAGGGATAGCAAAAGCTATATTATGTTAACACTAATCAAGAGAAAGCTGGAGTAGTTATATTAATTTCAGAGAGACTGCAGAACAAGGAAAATTATCAAGATTAAAAAGAGGCACCACATAATGTTAACGGGGTCAATTCTCCAAGACTCAACGATCCTTAACATGTATGCACCTAACAACAGGGCACCAAAATATGTGAGACAAAAACTGACAGGACTGCAAGAAGAAACAGACAGATCTACTACCATAGTTGGATATTTCAATACCCTTCTCTAAGTAACTGGTAGATTCAGCAGGCAGAAAATCAGTAATGAGGTAACTGAACAGCACTATAAACCAACTGGATTTAATAGACATTCACAGAGTAGCCATCAAACAGAAGAATATACATTCTTCCCAAGGTCACATGGAATATTCACCAAGACAGACCATACACACCTTCACAAATTTAAAAGAATATAAATCATATTCTCAGAGTCTAATGGAATTAAACTAGAAATGAATAACAGAAAGATAGCTAAACAATCCCAAAATATTTGGAGATTAAACAACACACTTCTAAATAACATGAGTCAATGAACAAGTTTCAAGAGAAATTTTTTAATATTTTAAACCAGAGGAAAATGAAAACACATCTTAGCAAAATGTGTAGGATTCAGTAAAAACAGTACTTTGAGGGAAATGTATAGCATTAAATGCATATTTTAAAAAGGAAGGAAGATCTAAAATCCCCAATCTAAGTTTCCACCGTAAGAAATAAAACAAGAGCAATTTAAGCCTAAAACAAGAAGAAGAAAAGAAATAAAAATTAGAGGAGAAATCAATAAAAATGAAAACAGGGAAACAGAAAATCAATGAAACTAAAAGCTGGTTGTTAGAAAAGATCAATAAAATCGATCATTCTCTAGCCAGACTAGCCAAGAAAAAAAGAAGACACAATTTACTAATATCAGAAATAAACAAAGAGTCATCTCTATTGGTCACAAGGACAATAAAAGGATACTATAAATGGACAGGGCCACTTGTGTAGGACAAGCTGGGCCACTCCTCCCCTCTCTTAGTCCTGAAAAAAACAAAGGACTCCAGCTCCCCACCCCTTACTCCTTTCTCTGAGGGACACTGAAACAGGAATCTATCATGTAATCTCACGGGGCATAACTTTTCCCCATATTTCAGCCCAATTACCTTAAAATCTTACCACCTTTAAAAAAGAAAAAGGAGTTAAAGAGGCCTCCTCTCCCCATCAATTTATAAGCTTTAGGCCCCACAGGACCCCTACCTGCTTCGTGTGCCACACTGAAAGGTCAGGCCCACAGGCAGTGTGGAGGGAGACAGTCAGGATGAATTTGAGGTATCTGGTTTGATAGGTTGGATTTTTTATTTTTCAATAAGGTGTTTTGCCATAGAGTAAGCATAAACCTAATTCCTAGAATGTAAGAGCTGGAAGAGATTAACCTCCTCAAAATAAAAAAACAGAAGCACAAAAGGACAGGAACAGATAATCCACATACAAAAAAGAAAATTCAACCAATTAATGGACCTGCAAAAAAAAAAAAAAGGTGACCCTCCATAAAAATCAAAGCAAATTTTAATAAGTATCCCCATTTCTTACCTCTCTCAAAATAAGACTGTCTTGTTTTGCGTTTTGTTCTTTTTATACCTGCTGCTGACCAGGAGGGTTCAGTGAAGCAAGCCCTCTGCTGTGAAAGCTATCGTGTGCTTTTGTCAAATTCTTCAGAGGCCAGTTTGGCTCTCAAGGCCATTTCCTTCCGAAAATTCAGACCAAGGAAATAATTCAAAATGCATAAAAAGATACATATCCCACTATGCTTATTTGTTTATCATCTTAACAGATATGCGGTTTTTACACTTCATATTATCACTATAAAATTTGGAAATAAGATGGTGAAAAAGAGTACACTTCCAGTTATAAAGAGTAAACTTCCAGTTATAAAAATAAAATGAACAAATTCTGTGGATGTAATATACAGTCAGGTGACTGTAGTTAACAATACTGTACTGTATGTTTGAAAAAACAGATGATAGAGGAAAAAAAATGAAACTATGTAAGGTAACGGATGTGTTAACTAACCTTACTGTGGTAATCACTTCCCAATATACACATATATCAAACCATCATGTTGTACACCTTAAACATACACAATATTACATCTCAGTAAAGCTGGGGAAGAAATTAAGTTAACAAAAAAAAAATATGTAAAGCACAAACTGTTAAAAATATACAAAAGTAAACGGCAAGTCCACGCACATACTTTGAAAACTCACAGTTCTTTCAGAAATTAAGAGGTCAGGTAGATAAAAGAACATAGTGGATATGGATAGTGTATTCTATTGAGTGTGCTTTAATATATAGAGTTTTGTACTCAATGAACCACTCAAAACTAGGTCTAGAGTTATTTGCAAAATCAACCATCAATCAAAAGCTCAACAAATTCTAAAAAGTATAAATATAGGCCACATTCTCAGACCCCAAGGCATTAAGATTAAAAGCAAATGGGGAAAAATCTATCCACCTAAAAAACTGTAACACCTTTTGAGAACTCTTAAATTAAGAAATGAAAACTGAAGTTACATACTATTTAGAACTCACTGTATCATAATGCAAAAGTAGACACGACCTGAATGTCCAACTTATTGGGCAACGTATGAGCAGAATGTTATGCAAATATTCCACACGACTGAGACTTGTGTAGAAATGTTGTAAAAGAAATGTGTATGATATAACAATTTTAAAAAGCAGGCTGGAAACCAGAATAAGAAATAGGATGAAAATGATGGGAAAAAAATTAAAAATACCTAAGGAGAGGTTTCAAACAAAAAAGTAAAAAAAAGTAATTTTTAAAACTATACCAGAATGAGTGATTATAGCCCCTTATTGGCACTAGGAGAAATTTTCTTTTTTCTTTTTTTATTTTATACCTTCCTAAATGTTTTTAAGTTAAAAAAAGGAAGGCAGAACTTTTAAAAGTTAAATATTGATTGTGTACATCTAAGGCAGAGAGGGATCTAGGGGATTTGCTAAGGACAAATTCAGAGCAGGGCCCAGGCGCCCACTCTACTGCCGGCCCCTAACTCCCACGGCTGTGTCTAATCAGCCCGGGAACAACCAAATAACGATGATTCGCATCACAAGAAGAAACAGGCTGGGCGTAATGACTTGTTAGGTAACTGACAGCCGGATACCTTTGACCAAGGGGGCTCTGGTTCCAGGCATCGCCAGGGTCAGCGCGCGGCCAGCCTTCCGTAAAACTAAAACCAGGAGCGGAATAAAATCGGTGAGCCGAAAAAAGGGATCTCAAAGAGTTCCGGGTCCTATAAACCTCCGCCTGCGTGCTCTGGGCCTGTTCCCCCCTCCCAGGCCCGCCCCAGCCCAGCGCGCCCCAGGATGGACCCGCCGCGCGCACCTCTCTTGCCCGCGACCGCTGCGTCCTGCGCCGGAGACCGGGACCGGAAGCTCCCCGCTCCGCCCGCGCGTCCCGCGAGCGCGCCCCCGCCGGAGCTCCTCGCCCCGCCCGCGCCCGGCCCCTCTCCCGGCTGCAGGGCCGCCGGAGCGCGAGAGAGGGCCCCGGGCCCCGCCCCCGCCCGGAACCCGCAGACCGCAAGCAGGTCAGCCGCGGGCCGGGCTCCCGGTGCTGGGACCGCCCAGGCTCTCCAGCTGGTCCCTTTTCATTGTTTGACAAGTGAGGGAAGGAGAGCTGGAAGAAGACCCAGCCTGGCCCAAAGAAGAGCTTCTCAAATTGGGGGCTCCTATCTGCTATTAAACCGTTGATATTCTAGCTGTTTCTACGGACGATGCAGTGCACAGACGGTTTAGGAATGACTGGTAGATAATTGGATTGGGGGAGGTTAGGAGTCTGCCCGAAACATCTTCTTGCCCTATCTTGGGACAGAAATTGCATCTTTAACCAGTCATTTAATCTGTCAAAATGTAAACCCCGCTTCCCCACCCCCAAGAGTAATCTCGGCGGCCATAGAACAGCAGGACTCTTAGGGGCCTGTGACGGGACAGGTAACCTGGGAGCCGGGACAGGGAACCTGAGAAGGCAGGCGCTGGAGCGTCAGCCGAGGGAGGCTAGCGCGGGTGGCTTTTGCACCGCCCCGGCCTGACCAAAGCTGGAGCGACCTCGCCCCCTGCAGGGCTGCGGGCGCGTTAGCCTTTACGCGAGGTGGGCACCCGCGGACGTGGGGGCTGCTTCCTGGGTCCCATCTCCTGAGTTATTTGTAAAATGCTCACTTCCTTGCGCCTCTGTTTTTTTTCCTCTATACAGTAAATGTATGGGACCGTATCTTCCCTGGGTTCGTTTCCAATTTCGGATTCTAGATCCCTCCTTCCCGTTTCCCCTGCCAGAACCCACCAGGCGCGGCCTCCTCTGACCCCACCCCTTGGTCTGGCCACCCCCACCATGGCTCCCCAGTTTCTGCCTCAGTGCTGTGTCCTGCGTGAAGCGGCGACTATTTCCTGGGGTAAGAATGGGAAATGTGCCGGTTCCCTCTTACTAGGCCCTTGCTGGGCACAGAACAATTAATCCCTTGAGAAATGGTGAGAGGGATCCAGGCCTGCGATCCACCACGGTGGGTATCTGAAGACCTCCGCCAGGGCTGGCCCAGAGGTTGCACAGAATAAACAGCTGCAAGGGAAGGGAGTGCGAGCTCCGCACAATGGCTCCACCTCTCCCGGGCTTCAGCTCTCCCTCAGCGGGCCGTGTAGTGCTCTGTTCCCCAGACACACTGCGCTGCTTCTGGCCACCGCGCCTCTGCCACGGCGCAGGGCCTTCAGCCTGGCTCCCCGCCCGCTGCTTCTTAAGGCTGAGTTCAGGCACCGCCGGCTTTGGACACCCAGGGTGCCCTCCCCATCCTCCCCCTCCCCCTGAGAGTGATAACCGTGGGGGGCTGCTGCTTTCCTGTCCTCGCTGCACGCACCGCATCCTGGCACCCCCAGCGTGGTATCACGTGTTCCCTTCTCTGTCCCCGTCGCTGGGGTGTCCCTTCACCCTGGGGACCTGTAGAACTGGAATCGGTGCCCAGGACAGCGGCCCTCCGAGACACAGGACACGAGCCGCAAACCCCACCGCACCCAGGCTCCGCTGCACAGCCGCGAGGAGGGCCGTGAAAGAGGCTGACTAACTTGCAGAGAGGAGATCCTGGTTCACTGCTCTGTCCCTGGGCACATGGAAGAACATTCCAGAGGGACAATTCACCTCATTTCTGAGGCATGGAGGAAGTAGCTCATTCCTCTCCTTCCCGCTGAACTGAGAAGGTGTAAGCCATCCTGCCAAATACTCTCACCCCCTTCATTCCGCCCCCACCAAAAGAGGGAGGCGGGAGGAGCTGCGGGATGAGGAGCAAGGAAAGGTAAAGCCCTGGCTTCTCGGTCTCCTTTTCTTTCCTTCCCAGGCTCCACCTTTTCTGCCTTCCCGCCTCCAGGTCCTCACCTCCCCTCCTCCCCTTCCCAGAGGAGAAAACACCCATAAATGGGTCACCGCGAGAGCTCTTCCGCCGCTCTCAGGCTCGGGTGGTTAGCGGGTGGAAACGGGCGCCCTCCCCTCTCGCAGTGTTTCCGTGGCTGCCCCCTTGGGCTTCCACAGCTCACCCCACAGGTACCCGAAGAACTCTTCAGATCCCCTGGGAAAGTTGCACAGGGGGTCTTCCCACTGTCAAGGTCACAGTTTATGTAACATGAGAGTGAAAAGCTTGATGAAGTGAGGTTACTTCACAGATCCTCAGCCAGGGCCCAAATAAAGAATTAACCGTCTTGTGTAAGAAGAAAACTTTCCACTGACTTTTTAAAGTTTCTGTTTTGGGTAAACTGTTTTAAGACAACAAATTGTCTCACAAACTCCCACACCAAAAAAAAAAGAAGAAGAAGAAGAAAGAAATGAGGCTTTGATCGGTTTATTTTGCCTCCTGGCAGTTTTTTGCCAGAGCCTTCACTGCAAATACAATATGACTCAGGACAGCTGTGAACAAAAAGAAGCACTGAAGCCTCATTTTGGTTGTTGAAATTAGTAGTGCACAATTGGTTGGAAAGAAATCAGGTGCTCTACACACCAGCAAAATTTGTATTTTCAGCGATGTGAGTTCTGGAAGTCAGGGGCATTATCTGATGTGTGGAAGTTACTTAAACACTGTTGACACTCAAGAGAGCAGTGGGCAAGAATGCAAACAGGCACTTGGCAGAAGAGGTAAGCTGAATGGCTCACTTTGTGACAACAGGCTCTCTCAGCCTTAAGTAGGGAGATGCAAGTTTAAACAATGAGATACCCACTCATACCTATCAGTCTGGCAGAATTAAAAAGAACCACAAAACCAAGAATTATAAAGCACGCGTGGTATATGGTGACTCACAGCCGCTGTATGTTCTGGAACCATCACTTTGGAGACAAATTTGCCAATAGCTGTGGGGGCTGAAGAAAAGCATATGCTTCAAGTCACACGTCTCAAAGTCAACATCCTCCTTAAGTCATTCCTCTTCCAAGTCAATACCTAGAGAAATCTTGTATGTGGACTCTACGGAAAATGTACAAGGATGTTCACTGTAGCATTGTTTATAATGGCAAAAACTGGCAACAACCTAAATGTCCTTCAAAAGAGTAATGGATTAATAAATCAAGAGTTGTCATCAAATCTTACTGCTCTTGAATTCCCACAAAATATGAAAGACTGTATTTCTCCACTCATTTAAAGAAAGTTTTTATTGTGGTAAAATGCACATAACAGTATTTTCCATCTTCACCATTTTTAACTGTACAGTTCAGTGGTATTAAGTACATTCATATTATGCAACCATCACCACCATTCATCTTTGGAACTCTTTTCTTGCAAAACTGTAACTATATATCCATTGAGCCCCATTCCCCTACCCCCAGCCCATGCGAACTCCATTTGATGTCCTGCCTCTATGATTTTGACTATTCTGTGTACTTCATGTTAAGTGGAATCATAAAGTACTTGTCTTTTTGTGGCTGGCTTATTTCACTTAACATAAGGAAGGTCCTCATAGTTCAGCCATGTTGTGGTATATGTCAGAATTCCCTTCCTTTTTAAGGCTGAATAATATTCCATTGTATGGATATATTAACATTTATTTATCCATTTTATCCCTCTATGGACACCAGGGTTACTTCCCTGTTTTAGCTATCATGAGTAATGCTATTACTCAGTTTTAACTTGTCATCAAACATTTATAATCATAAATAATTGTAAAGTGTATAAATTTCAATTTGTTGTAAATATATATTGAATATTTTAAATAAAACCTTTATATCACTCTTCTGTTTCTAATAGAATAAAAATAAATTATATTATCAATTTTATTTCTACCATCACCTGTTTTAAAAAAATACAAGAATAAGTTCTTATTTAACTTTTGGAAATTTTTTATCATTCCTTTATCTCCTTGAAACTATGAATTCTATCCTTCCTCCACAGAAGCTTACTCTAATGTAATATGGTCTTGTGCTTGAAGATCTTTTATTGATCATACTTCTTTGCCAAAAAGGCATATAAATTGAAATTTTAATTCCTTGTAACCATAAATTTTAGGTATTAAACATTTATCTAGGTTATGCCATCATTACAGCTATTAGTAGTGCACAATTGTTCAAAAATATCATAAACTGTAAATATTGAAAATTAAGTATTAAAAACAAAAAAATAACTTTTGGTGATATTGTACTGTAGTTATAGAAAATGTTACCATGGGGGAAGCTGGGTGAAGAGTATAGGGGATCTCTGTTGTTATTTCTCATAACAGCAATGCTATTCTACAATTATCTCAAAATACGTTTTATTGCAAAGTAACTTTAAGGAGAAATTCAACCCCTACTGAGATGGATAGGGCCTGATTAATTAACCTATATGATAATATTACTGATTACTAGAATGAGACATGGCTCAGCATCAATTATTTTCCTATTTTCTTGTTTTAGTTTTTCATACAAGATAAGCACTGAGAAATCTTGATCCCCTGAATAAATAGTTGATTTTGTTAGAGCAGAGCCACTCAATTTTTTAACACAAGTTCCAACTTTTTTTTTTGACAAAAAACAAAACAAAACAAAACCAATAGTGATCTATCATCAAAAGGTAATTTTAATGATCTGTAAATTGCTGTATTAATTTGTTAGTAATTGCTGTAACAAAGTATCACAAACTAGATGGCTTAACAACAGAAATGTATTGTCCTATGCCTTCCGAGGGCTATTAGGAAGAGTCTGTCCCATACCTCTCCCTCACTTCTGGTGGGTTGCCAGCCCTCTTTGGGGCTCCTTGGCTTATAGAGGAGTCACCCCCAATCTCTGCCTTTATTTTCACAGGATAGTCTTTGTGGGTGTGAATTTCTCCTTTTCATAAAGACACCAGTATATTGGATTAGGACCCACCCTAATCTCATTTAACTGGAAAGACTCCCTATTTCCAAATAAGGTCACATTCTGAAGTACCGGGGATTAGGATTTCAACATATGAACATATACATTCAACATATACAGTTGAATTCAACAATTCAGCCTGTAACAGTTGCTAACGCTAGTAGGTCTTCTCTCAGTTGTGTTGAAAGTAAAGACTTGGGAGCCATTGACCTGCATGTGGACAGTCATCACCTGTAAAGTCACTCACTTCTACTTTCTGGAAGCCCACTAAACTAGGCTTCACCAAAGCCTCTTCAGTAGCTGTCAGCAGCACTGTTCCTCTCTCCCAGAATTGCCTACATGGATAAGCTTAGAAAGGGTTGGGGAAACAGAAATATTTTTAATTTTAGAACAAATTAACCCCAAACAACATTAAATGATTTTATTTGAACATAGGCTTTAAACTTTGTTTTCACCAAAACTTTGGCACTAGAGATTTACTTCATTTGGTTCATGGAAAATAAAAATACTGCCAACTAACCTCCTCGGCAAAGCCAGTCTTCAAGGTGAAACCAATTAGCAAGTCAGACTTTCTGTTAAAAATAGAAAAGAAGTCTGATTACTTTTGCAATTGAACTGGTTACCGTGTGTCCCATAACAACTGTCCTGCTTCTGAATTCCAGCTCTACACTAGAGAGGTGGGTGGGGTGATGAGCCCAGGAGTCTACCAGGAGGTGCTCCGCCTCCAGCATTTCTCCCAGATGTCCTCTCTGCCAGGATCTCAGGGACTCTCCTCAGAAGAATGCATTGAATTCCTAAGGGAATGGACATGGAATGAAAAATGTCTAGGTGTTTCTCTTTGATGGCTGCCCCTAGAGGTTGCACCTCCAGGGAACTGCATTGCAGAGAGGTACAGGATTTGCAAGGTCTGCCTTTGTGTTTTAAAGTGGGAAAGGAGCAATTGTGGAAGGAGAGGGGAAGGAGAATCAGCACAAAGATTAGACACAGGCATCTGTTCTTGGGCACATCTGCCTTGGGAAAAGGACCACTGGGAGTTGAGGATTTGGAAAATGAGCCCCTTAAAATTATGAGTATATTGCCAGGGGCAGTCCCTATGTCCCCACAAGGGTATGAATACTTTGAGGGCCACTGAACTGTGGTATAGTCACAAGATAATACGACTACGTGGCATTTAAAATAAAGGAGCTAAATCTATATGTATTGACATAACTGTAACTCAAAGACATACAATATAATATTTCGGTATATTGGAACATTCTCAAAAATAATATTATATACAGTTGATATATGCATAGAGTAAAGTCATTAAAACAGAGAGACAAGTTGAAAGTAATAGGATGGAAACAGAAAGTAAGAAAGCTGGAGTGGCCATATGAATATCAAACTAGACTCCAAAACAAAGCATTATCAGAGATAAAGTGAGACATTTCATAATGATAAAAGGATCAATTCATCAAGAAGACAGAATAACCTTAAATGTGAACACACCCAATAACAAAGCTTCAGAATACATGCAGCAAAAAAATGCACAGAATTAACGGGAGAAATGGACAAATTCACAATCATAGTTAGAAATTTAATATCCTTCTTTCATAATTAATGGACAAAACCCACATTTTGCTTCTGGAGAGGAGGCAAGAGACTTGGGAGGGTACAATTGTGTCTGTAACATTCATCTGAAGCAAATATGACAATATGCTAACCCTGGTTCTGAGGGGTGTTTTCTGAGAAGCATATGGGTGTTTTATATTATGTGCTATATTTCACTGTGTTAATATGTGAATGAAGTCCAGACGTCAACATCACCTCATCCAATATCACTCCCACAGCTCCCCACACCCCCACCATCCACCCTCCCTCCTTATCTGTGAGTCTTCCTCATCTCTTCTTTGACAGATGACAGTCATGTGGCAAAAGGTGTCCTTATATGGTCAGGCACAGGACATAGGTTTGCAATCGCTTCCTGTCACAGGTGTGCAGTCCCATGCCCTCCCCATCGAACTTACAGCCCAAACCTGTGGCAGCCACCTCTCCCAGGAGGCCTTTCCCTCTTCTCAAGCCCCATCCTGAAGTTCCTTTACCACCAGGGTCCTGGGCCTTGTGTTCCTCCCTCTCCTTAACTGCAGGCCTTCCCTAGAGGTCAGCTTCCTCCCCTGCTCCTTGTCTGCTCCTCACCTTTCCAATCACACCCACTCTCACCACTTATCACCTCATGGCAGAGGCTGCATCCCCAGCCCTGGTCCCTCTCTTGGGCACAAATCCTGGCTCTCCAGTTGCATTCTGGACACTTCTGTTTGGATGTTCTTGACATTGGAGATCTGCAGAAATTTGACCCAACCCAACTTCACAGCAAGCATGGGTCTGCACAGAGGGAGGAGGATGGCACACACCACCAGAATCAATACAAGTTGTCAACAAAACGTGTGGGTTTTTCCCTGTCATAGACAAGCTTCTTACTCTCTCTGCCTCCTGCAAGCCACAGCTGAGGATCCCTGAAACATATTTCAAGCATTGCCCAGCTTCCTTTGGCATCCTGTAGTTTTCTCTGTTCTTGACATCTTGTGGTTAACTTTAGTAAGTTCAGAGACGGATATTACGTATATATATTTTTTCCTATTTGGCACTCTGAGAGCACTTTTGACCTGAACACCTTTAATTGTGGCAAATCTTCAGCCATGATTTTTTCCAGTCCTTCTCCACAGTCCCTTTATTCTCCGCTTTTGAAATCTGGTTGAACATTTCACAGCACTGACCCAACTCCTCAACCACTTTCAAACTGCTTCTGTCTCTACCTCCCTGCCTTATAGTCTCTGTGAACTCCTCCGTGCTGCCTTCCATTTTACCAATGAATTATCCCTTCCACTATGTCCAATTTACTGTCCTAGTTTACATCTACAGCTTTCATTTCTCATATGCTCAGTATTTATCATTATTCAGTTATTTGTTTAATTTCTGCATTTTCTACACATTCTTGTTCTCTTTATTTTAAGCTCTTTTCAGATTGTTACATAATTTGCATCTCTCCTGGAGTGAAGTTGCTTCCCAATTTGAGTAAATATTCGTATGTACACCTTGAATTTGCATGTGTGTGTGTAGGCTTATCTTGAATGGGAATTTTTAGAACCTTTCCGTCTTCTAACACTTCATCCTCCTTGGTTTTGGTGGCCTTGGACTTTGCATTGGCTCCCTGTGAGCACAAGGCCTTCTCCTGCCAGCTCCAGGCTCTTGTCCAGTGGGGACACTGGGGACCAGGCAGCCCCAGCGTCTAACCTGCCCTCCCATCACTGTAGGGGAGAAGCCCCATGTGAGCTGTGACTCTGGGGGCACACGGCCTTCTTCAGCCTCTCACCAAAAGAAATCTTTCCCCAGCCCCTCTTCCAGGAGACAGCCTGGTTCCAACCTCCCACCATGGGCAAAACATATAGGGACCCAGCAAGCTGAAGGAGTCAAACCTTTGCACCAAGAGAACCTCTGAGTCCCAGACCCAAGAACAGCAATCCAGTCCCTGATTTCAGCCCTGGCTCCACCATTACACCCACCTTGCTTTTGAGTGCACCGACCTTGTTCTCTCCCACTCTCTCCTTTCACTTCCAGCTACACCATTACTAGGTGTTAAAGCATGGTATCACTGCCATCTGGACCAGAATTTGAATGTCTCATTCCAACCAACCTCTCCCCTAATTCTTATCTTATTTCCAAACCAACCATGTTGTAAAGCCTTTCCTGACCACTTCGACAGGAAATAAACTATCTCTATACCCTCTGACCTGTTATACCCTGCTTTTGCCTTTACCTTTCACAAACAATAGTTTCCTGAAAACGAAGTGTGTTCTACACCTTCTGTTATGCATTGCACTATAAACAGAGCGAGATGAGATCTCTTCCTCAAGAACCAAGGGGTGGTCGTCAAGCTGGCTGAGCAAACAAACCATTGCTGTGCCGAGTAAGTGCTGCCTCCCGGGGATGCCTGAGGTCCAGGTGACACCGTGAAGGTTGGATACCACACTGCCTGAGGGGGGGAGGGGGAAAGGGGCTGAGCCCCATAGGGAGGAGTTGCTTGAGCTGAGTCTGGAGGAAGACAAGTTCACTAAGCAGAGAGCAGAGCTGAGAACACACCAGGCTGAGGGAATTACATGCTCAGTGGCACTAAGGTGAAAAGGAGCAGGGCCCCTTTGAGAACCAGAGATGGGGATGCAAAGATGAGCAGGAGAGGTGGGAGTCGGGGCAGCAGAGCCATGCGCAGTGCCTTTACAAGCAACTTTTAGGATTACCTGATGTTCTCGTAGGGACCCTGGACAGTCCTCGTGGGTTGAGCAGTGGGTCGGCAGGATAAAATTTTCTCTGGAAAGGACCAGAAGCATTAGAAGACACCAGACTAGAAGTGGGGTTGCCAATTAGGAGACCATTGCAGAAGTTCCGGCATGAGAAGACAGCATCCCGGATGAACCTGAGGTGGAGGAAAGTGGGAGCGGCAGAAGGAAGGTAAGAATGATAGATGTTTATAATTGAGATAAAGCAAGGCGCTGACAACTCCAGACCTCAAAGGTCTTTCTAGGCCCAAACAAGCTAACTCCTTCTAAGGGGACAGTATCATTTCCATAGACCTGGTTAGGCAAGGGCAGACAGCAGGCCACTAATTCCAGGTTGTCCTTGACATCAGCCTCTTAGTCGCTGTGGCACAGAGCCCTGATTAATTTTCTATCAATGATTTTGCCTGATTACACATTCTGAATATGTCTTTAATTAATGTAATTTAAAATCATTTTACTTCATTGTTTTAAGAGCAAACACCATGAAAAAAACAAAGACCTGTTTAAATTCAGCATAGAAACCAGTTACTCTTATCCTGTCTCTCTCTGGATGCTTTTAAAAATGAGGGGCTTGCTTGATAGAGGGCATTTGTTCCCATTTCTTCACACCGCCCTGCATGAGCGCTTCAGTGTGGGGTGTGGGAGCTTACCTGGTAGTGAGGGGCAGGCCCCACCCAGCCCTCCGCACACCTGGCTCTACAGCAAGCAAGCATCCCCAGGGCTTGCACCATTGCATCTGCTCTCCAACTCTGCAGGGCGGATGCCACTGTGGTTACATTTGAAAATCCACCACTTTCTGTGAAAAATATCACTGGGGTCACAAAGCCTCTTTGGTGGGTTTGCATCTTGCTTTGGCACGCCCCTCATCCTCTGTCTTGCTCTGCACCAAGGGGCTGCCATCTGCATGGCTGCCACCTTTTCTCAGCTGCAAGGCTGGACAGCCTCCCAAGCTAGCTGCAGCTCACTTCCAGGAGTGCGAGATGGCCACTACAGACTTGGCTGTTTCCTTGACACCTCCACTCTTGTGAGTTAAGGGAAAGCACTCTGTCTACACAGAGATACACACACATGCACACATACACACACATGCACATATGAATGCATCTGTATATTAGAGATCTACTGTTGTGAACCACAGTCACAGTCATCATTACAAAAGGTTTGTCTTCTCTAACCTCTCTCACCTTCCATCTGAAAATGTTACATGTACCGGTACAAGTCTTCAGTGTTACAAATAATATTGAATCTACTAGAGCCTTGCTAATAACTGTAAAAATTGCTTGAGGAACTGCTTGAATGTCCATTAATAGGAAAACTAAATTATGGAAACCATATAAAACACACCCATTTAGAAGAGTGGGGTAGATTTACATGTGCTGACATGAAAAACTTTCCTTCTATGGTTAGATAACAAAGATAAAGTTGCAAAAAATGTATGCATAGTACAACCCCATGTGTGCAAAATGATGTATAAACATCTGTTCATGCACAGATATCTGAGGGACACACTCAACTGTAACACTGGTTTTCAGGATGGATGGATGATGGTCTGTAGAGTTGAGTCAGGGTAATTTCCCTGTATTATTTTTTGCATTGTCTGAAGATTTTTCAAGGATATATAACTCTTATAATTTAACAGACCCTTTAACAAATATTTCTAAATATAAAACGCTTAATGTTCCATGTTACAGTAAGCACCTTGAATGCTTTGAGAAGGGGAGTGTGTCACATTGAAATCAAAGCAATAAAAAAAAAGCCCATCCAGCACTTAAGCTGGGACCTCATAGGGGGAGTGCAGTTCCTGAAAACACAGCTCAGCCCAAGCTGTGATGTGACATCCTCACTGAGCAGACCTCCCAAGTGGGGCAGACATAGGAAGCAGATAATGCCATGTGGCTTGACTCTAGAATCAAGCAGTAGCAGTGGGAGGCACACCCATTCTGGGATTCAAAAGTGGGAAGAACCCGGAACCACGAAGAAATGGGAGAAGGGCACCCACCATGGCTGGAAGTTTTCAGCACAGCAATAGGCAAAAAGAAGGGGACACTTGTGTGCCAGGGTCAGAGAGGGAAAATTGCCTCTACCCAAGCATTAACCCAGGCTACATGCATGTCCCTAGCCCCACCCCCAAAGCCAGGGAGACACAGAAATGAGGTCCAGTCCCACAGCACTGGAGCTGGCCGCGAAGGCTTTCACACATGGCATTTCAAGCAAAGGCAAGAGGAGCCCCGAGCTGAGATAACCTCAGACCCTGTGAGAATGCAGCTGTGGGGCCTGGGCAGAGGCTGGAGCAGGCAGCTCCCCAGGGTGTTGAGCCAAGCCAGGCTGAGCTTCCATCCAGTCCTGGGAGTCATGGGACCACAGGAGTGACCGTCAGATCCCCCTTAACAGAATAATCATCACAGCAGGGTGGCTGGAGGACTGGCCAGAAGAGGGACTAGAGTGGAGGCTGTAGATGGCCCCAAGAAAGAGTGCGGCTGGTAAGGGAGGCTTAGCAGTAGGAGAAAGGCCCACCGGTGTGGTGGGCAGGGGATGCGGCCCAGAACAAAGCCTGGGTGGCCGCTGCCCGGTGGGAGTCTCCTCAGTGGAAGGGAGAAGGTCCTTCCTCAGGGAATACCTGGACTATCCTCACCCACGCTTCTTGACGTTATCTCTAATCTCTTTGCCCCTTCTCTATCACCCCACAAGAGAGCCCTTTCCAAGGGTCATTTCCAAACCCCTTTCCTCCTCCTCAAATCCGCAGTTCCCATCCGCCCCAAACGCCCGCAAGGCTGCCTAGACAGCCTCCATTCACCGACCCCAGCCCCCTCACTGGGCTGGAAGGTGCCAACCGCGGAAGGGAGGGCCACTGTCTCCTCGGAGGGGCTTCGGGTGACATCACATCCTCCGAACGCGAAGTCGGGCTAGGCGGCCTGCCCAAGGGCGCAGCTTCCCGCCCGGCGCCCCGCAGCTCCCGCACGCAGCCGCCGGCGGCCGGGCTCCGAGCCGCGCCGCGGGGGGCAAGCCATGGCCTCGCGGGCGACCGCCCTGCTCCTGCCGCTGGCCCTGCTGCTCCGTGAGTTTGCGACCCTCGGGGAGGGGGGCGGCGCCGGCGGGGGGCGCGGGGCCCGGGCTCAGCCTGGCTGCCTCCCTCCGCAGACCCCGCCGCGACCCGCGCGCAGAGCCAGTTTCGGATGTCGCCGCCCGAGGTGCGCAAGCCTCTAGACGCGAAGGTGGAGCTGCGCTGCGAGGTGCTGCTGAGGAACCCGGCGTCGGGCTGCACGTGGCTCTACCAGGACCCGGGAGCCAAGGCCAGCCCGGTCTTCCTGATGTACCTCTCCAAAAGCCGGACCACGACGGCCGACGGGCTGGACAGCAGCCTGATCTCCGGCAAGAGGATCGGGAACACCCTCTTCAGCCTCACCCTGCACCGCTTCCGCGAGAAGGACCAAGGCTACTATTTCTGCTTGGTCTTGAGCAACTCGATACTGTACTTCAGCCCCTTCGTGCCGGTCCTCCTGCCAGGTCGGGGCGGGTGTGGTGCTCACCTCTGAACCCGTTTCTCACACGGACGCCCCGCTTTCCAGCCTCCTAGGGCGCTTGCGGGCCCACTTAGATATTGTTCCCATTTCACAGACGAGAAAACTGAGGCTAAGGACTGGCTGGGTTAGGGACTGAAGATAGCTTTTTAGGTCTGGCCCATCTGGGCTCGAGTTCGGGCGCTCGTGTGGTGCTGGACAAGTTACTTAAATTCTCTGAGCTTCCGTTTGCGCTTCAGTAGAATGGGAATATCAGCCCAAGCCCACAGCGCTGCCGGGTGAGCCCGGAGCGAGGCTGGGCGGCGGGGATTTGGGGGGTTCCGGCGCCATCCCGGGAGGCCCCACCCCACGTCCAGCCCCAAGTGCAGAGTTCGGCGCGGGCAGCGACCTATGGCTCCTCCAGGGGAAAGGCGGGGAACGGTGCGGAGGGTTCTCACGAGAGGCCGAACCCGGTTCCAACTACACTCTGTTGCTCCTGCAGCGAAACCCACCACGGCGCCGGCGCCACGATCACCCACGCCCGCGGCCACCAACGCGTCGCAGTCCGTGTCCCTGCGTCCTGAGAGGTGCCGGCCCGGGGCGGGCAGCGCAGGTCGGGGCACAGGGTCCCGGGGTGCGGGTGGGCCGTGGGGGGTGCGGACTGCGGAGAGCCCCTGTCAGGGCAGCCCTGATCCTGGAGGTAGAGCCTTCGGATGTCCAGGGAACGGGGACACCGAGACCGGGAACCGGGAGCCGTGCCTGGGCCGGCGGGGTGGTGGGGGAACTCGGCCAGCCCCGAAATGTCGTCTCTGGTGTCTGCAGTGGCCGAGAAGGGGCTGGACTTCGCCTGTGACATCTACATCTGGGCGCCCCTGGCTGGGACCTGCGCGGTCCTTCTCCTGTCATTGGTCATCACCGTCACCTGCAACCACAGTAAGTCCTGGGGCATCACGGCGTGGGGTGAGCAGGGGTGCTCTCCACACCCTCCCCTTGTGCTGCTTGCTCCAGGCAGTCCTTGAGGGGAGATGACGCTGAGATTTCTGGGACTCCGAGCTACACCGCAGGGCTGGGCATAGCTCATTTCCTGGAGCTACCTTGGAAAAGCCCCTTTGAGGGTTTCTTTACACTCCTTGGTGGGTGTTTAGGGAGACCGTACCCAATCCCTGAGCGGCGGCAGCGGATGTCTTCCATCCGCGAAGTCCGCAGCCAGAGCGCAGGTCCCGGTTTGTAACAGAAGCCTGCAGGGGCAGGGGCTTCTGGGGCTCTGGGACCGGTGCCCAGGCGGGCTGGGTCAAACCCATGACGGGTTGAAAAACAAAAACAAACCAGGACGGGTTGAGATTTACCCTTGGCCCCCTCCCTGCTTTGGGTCCCACGCTGGTTAGTATAGTAATCCGCATTCACCCACGTCTGTATTTGCAATGTTTTTTTAAGTTGATGAGAAGAGGGATGGAAAAGAAGCCCTCACCTGGGCTCTCAAAAGTTAAAATCCTAAAGAATAGGAAAAAGGAGGGAGAAACCATATTTGGGGACTACTGGGGGTCAGGGTTGAGGGAGAAGGCAGATAGCCAGTCACTTTACTCCTTCTTTCTCTTATCCAGAGAACCGAAGACGTGTTTGCAAATGTCCCAGGTGAGTCTCTGATAACCCCTGGGCCTGCTAACCCCTGGCAGCCCTGAGCACTGGACCCTGGCTTCCCAAACGGCAGGTGGTGGGAACCTTTCCCAGGGAGAGGCCATAGCAGTGGAGTCCTGGGGTCCGGAAGTCAGCATAGTGCCTAAGCAAAGAGTGGCGGAAGGGGAGTAACCTGGAGAAGATGGATGTCCAGGTTGGGCTAATGAGAACAGTGTGACTTGAGTAAATATCCATCTTATTTGGTCTAGTGCTAAAAATTCTATCGGGAGGATTCCCTCACTTAATCCTAGCTCATGAAAAGACCTGGTCTCTTTATCTGGATGATTCCATCTGGGTTTTGTTGTTTTCTTAGGAAAACTTTTTGTCCTACTTGCTTGGTCTAGTTTTTTTTTGGCCCGTCTTTTATCACCTGCACCAAATGATGGCCCTGGTGCCAAATTTCCCCATGTCAGCGTAGGGCCTTGATTGGCTGCCAAGGGCTGGAACGGAAGAAAGGGGGACCAGAGGCAGGGCAAGTAGCCACCAGGCAGCTCAGGTGACCCCTCATCCAATCCCAGCCATGAGTATTCTAAAATTATCAGGAAACAAATGAGAACAAGAACACTATCAGGAAGGGAAGCCTCAGCATCCTCTCTTTCTCTGTGTTTAGGCCAAGGCAGCCCTCGGCTAACATCTCACAACTGCCCACTTTAGCCCCGCACTGTGATGAGTGTTACGCTCAGAATCCCTCTTATCCTCCGAGCAACTTCGTGTGGCAGACACCATGGCCCCATTTCACAGTGGTGAAAGCTAGGAGCTTTTGGAGGAAAATCATCGCTTATCTCTTTTCTGAAAATTCTCATTTTGAAATGAACTGAGAATAAAACTCTGCCCTAAAATACAAATCTGTACAACTAAGCATGTCTGAGAACTGACTCCACCTACCTGAGTTAACATCCTCAGTGATTGATGGAGGGTGACTCAGCTTCAGCTGAGAGGTTTTGGAGGACTGTGTGTGCAGACACGACGCTCACCATGACTTTGCCATTTAGAAGGCACTAGACCAGTACGGAATTAACACACATTTTTAGTGTAACATCAAATTTGGGTGTCAAAGGGACTTTTAGAAAAAGTAGTTCTACTTGGCTGATGGCAGTGGTTTGCGCGCATTGTCCCCTAGCCCTGTGATCCTCCCACGGACTGAGAATCCCAGCTGATGACTGGTTATCAGCCTGTTTCTCTCACCTCCACGGGGACCTTGAGAAAGGCTCCAAGAAGCTTGGACTAATGGGGCTCAGGTCCTGGCTCTACCACCCCCTGGTCATGGGGCCTTGGGCAAGCTCTCCAACCTCCCATTCCCAGTGCAGTCCCTCAGGTTGCTGCGAGGATTGAACAAGATGGCCCGTGGCAGGGTTGCTGCGGTCCTTCACCCAGTTCCACGCTGGTGCCCCAGGGGCAAGTCCTCAGAGCCTACATAGGCTGGGGGACTGGGGGAGCTCGGAGACATGGGTGGAGCTACACTGCACTGCAGGGGCTCTTGTTGCAATAATGGTCACCTGCCTCTCTTTCAGGCCCCTGGTCAGACCAGAAGGCAAGCCCAACCCCTCAGAAAGATACATCTAACTTGCTGACGGGCCCTGTGCAACAGCCACTACAAGACTTCAAACTGGGAACTCTCCTTACAAGGAGAGCAACAGACTTCCCCTTTCAGTTTTGCCAGAACATTCTATATTCATTCTCATTATTATCATTTTCGTAGGGGTGGGGTGGGAAGGGTTGCTTTATGTGTTGACTTTAATTGACATCAAAAAAGCCTATATAATGCACCGCAAGGCTTGCAATACTGTTGTTCACACATATTGGGGTCAAGGAGTGGAAAGATCAGAGCTACCACGAGCTATGTTCTCAGAAGCAGGCTACTAGAGCTGCCAGGGCCTCAGCACCCACTCCATCCAAACCTCTTTTCCACCAGTTTTGCAAAAGAAGAACAGTCCTGATGGGGAGTAGCTCTGTCAGAGTCACCGCCAGGCTCTGGGCTCTTCCTGCACACCATTCAGGCCTTTCTTCAGGAGGCCTCTCTCTTGGCAGGAGTGTTGTCTCAAACCACAAGGGAACAAGTTATTTCTTGGGTACCTGTGGTAGACCCATTACTGAGCCAGAGCCCTGAAGACAGAACCACTGCTCACAGAGTTCTATAATGTTGAAAGGTATCAGACTTTTCTGTAGTCAGGCATGAAACTGTATAGACAGTAGGGATTCTTCAAAGTGGAAAGGGTAAACCAAATTCTGGAAAATGAGTAACTCCATCCCGGAAGAAAATGACTGAGAAACCCCAGAGTGGGGACAGAATTGCTCTCCCAGCCCTTGCTTTGCAGAAGGATTCATGAAAGAGAGGCCACCCCCTTACAAACATGGTCTGAGCATCAGTGGAGCTGAACTTGAGATACCGTATTTCAACATGTTCATGGGATCACTGGCGACTCTCTACAGTTTGTGAAGACAGAACTGTCGTCGAGTAGCCAGTACAGTCCCCAGGTTCCCCTCAACCAGTAGAGGTGGGGGTGTGGCAGAAGAGACTCTGATGAGAAAGAAGCCTAAGACTCAAAACTGCTGCTCTGCACACGCATTTCCTCTCTTAAGGTGTTACACAAGAAATCTGTGCTCGTCGGAAGAAAAAACTTAGGTAAGGAAGTAAGAATCATCTATAGTCCTTTACCTCGGGTATAATCCATTGTTAATATGGTATATGTCCTTCCTGATCATTTTCTATGCATATATATAAAATACATACTTTGATTTTTAAAAAATGGGATCGCATATACTTTAATAAGTGGCCATATTGAACAAACATTCATGGCTTACTTTTTAATGACAAAACAGCATTCCATTTTGGGTTGCGCCTTCATTTATTTAGTTAAAGCCTTGGTTTCCAGTTAGGTGTAACACCGATAAAACTTAGCACACATCTGTGTTTCTTTAGATTAAGTACCTAAAGTAAAATACTGGTTGGTCCCCATTTTCACCTTGGATCCTCCGTTTTCCTATCAGTCAAAACAGACCAGCCTCTTCTTGTGTCACCTTCCTTTGTTCTTTCTCAGTAACAGATGAGTGGATGCTCCTCTCCTAATAAATCACAAAATCTTCATTCTTGTTGTCAAGAGTAACACACGCACACACACACACACAATACACAGATCACAAGTGTGCTGCTCCAAGACACCATTAAGTGAACCCACAGCACCAGGTTAAAATAGAACTTTCCCTGCCCTCCAGAAACTGCCTTCAGCAACTTGAATTTTTAAAATTAAGATACTTTAGAGAACAGAAAGCAAGAAAGAAAAAGTGTGAGAAAACAGAAGTGAAAGCTGAGGAATGTCTTCAGAGACAAAGTCTGGCTCTTGACCCCTCCTCCCTGAACTTAGCCAGCTGACCAGAACTGGGGACCCCCCAGCGCTGAGGCCCAGCTCAGAGCAGGCACCAGGCTCTGAGGCCTCCTGTGGAGGCAGGGCTGGGCTCCAGGCTGGCTCTGAGCTCTCTGGGAGGCTGAGGAGGAACATCCTGCAGTAGGCTCCCCCTCCTCATGGGAGAAACTTGTGAGATGGCTGTGGAGAACCAGTGTCAAAGAATCTGGGCCAGGGGGAAGACAAGAAGAGGGCATTCACATCACATGGGGCATTTCTTCTTGACCAGGTGGTAGGCAGCTGCGGAGTCACACTGGGGAGGCTCTGGAGAGGTTCAATACTGACTGATTTTTTTCATACCTTCTAAAGAAGGCTTTTATTTACCACAATTAAAATGGTGAACATACCAAAATACCAACATAGGAAAAGGCATCCATGAGAGTGGGCCCTGGGGACCAGGGAGAAAATAGAAAACCAATCTGTAGGCCTGAGGCCTGGAGCGTGCAGACCTAATACATACAAAAGGTAGGCTAAAAGAATTTAGGCTCAGGGCTTGCTTGGTGACCACAGACATCCAACCCTCTTGTTCTACCAATGGGAAAGGGGCACCCAACTGTTACTATTTCACTTGCCAATCTCTTTGGTTCTACATATTTTCCTATATGGAAGATGCCCACAATATATTTTTTGGGCCCTGAAAAATAGTAAGTAGAGAGATGCTTTAATATTATGCAGTAAACTTGGTATCAATAGCTGGAATCCTGCCTCAGTGTGGTTCATTCAACAAAAACATCCTTTCGGTGGAAGGAAAAAAACAAAGAAATTTGCTAATTCTTTCTCCAACTGGTAAACTGCTCTTAAGAGAGCCCACCTTCCGTTTGGGAGACCCCTGTGACTCTTCCACAGGGAGAAGACATTTCTCAGTGGGTCAGATATCTCACTGCTTTTCTACCAGCAAGAACCTGCTTCTCCCTCCTGCCCTAGGCCTGTTTTAAGACCAGTAGCAGGCCTTCACCTGCCTCTAAAAGCAGGCTTGAGCAGTGTTTCTCCACCAAAAGGAAGTGGGGAGGCCACAATTGCCTTAGGTTAGGTTAGATTTGGAGGCTCTGAAAGCACTTCCAGGCTCTACTACTTTTTAACCATATGTTCTACATCAAGTGACTCAATGTCTTGATACCTCAGTCTCCTCATTTATAAAATGGGGTAGTAACAGTCCCTACCTCAAACCACTATTGGGAAGAGTATGTGTTTATATATCCTTTGTTTTTAAGTGCCTAAAACAGCTCCAGGAACAGTAACATAGTGAAAAAATGAACTTGTCCTCAACTTTTCAAAACTGGTGTCACTGCATTGCACTCTGAATGCAGCCACCTGTGTCTGATTGTTCCAGTCTGTTCTCACAGAGATGTACACAGTAACCATCCTCAATGGATGCACTTACAGTTTACCCAGGGGTCTCGGTGCCCCAAGGCCAGGGAGGACACCCCTTCACACACATGTCACAAGAGCTCAAGTCCCAGATATACTCAGCTCTGCACGGTCATTTGAAGCTTCCCCCAGCCTCACAACCTGAAGCACCCCCATCCCCCACCCCGTGCTGTGGATGGCTGTGCCTCTCTACTGCACAAGAGCTCTACCCGCCCACCCTTAGTGCAGTTTGATGAAGCTGGCAGAGCAGGAAAAGCACATGCTCTATCGTTATACCATCTCAGCATCTACTGAAGTCCCATCCCTTCGGGCATATTCCCTTTTCTGTTCTCCGTTAGGCTGGTCATGATCTACATATGTCATCTGTCTTACTACACTAATAATAGCTACCAGTTATTTAGCACCCACCAAGGGCCAGGTATCTCATTTAGGTGCCATCAAAACTGTGAGGTAGGAACTACTATCATTCTATTCTATAGATGAGGCAATGAAGGCATAGTAAGTTTCTATCATGTGCCCAAGATCACACAACTAGAATGTGGGGGGATCAGGATCCAAACTCAGGTCTAGTCCCACAGCCCAAACTCCTAACTGCTCTGCTATATTGACTATTTTATAGTCTGCTCATAATTTTAAAATTACACAAAACATTTAAAAATTCTCTAAATATCTATAAGCACCTCAAAACCCAAAGTACTTTTTACCTGTGTAGCCCAAGAGAGGAAAGAAAGGCCACCACCTGCTCCGAAATGAAGCAAACGGGCAAGAAGAGAACCAGAGCAGAGAGGGGCCCTGCCTGAAGTTAGGGGAGTGTTGTCTCTAACACGAGTGCCACCTGGGGCCAAGAAAGGCAGCTGGAGGAGGCTCAGTGACAACTCACTCACTCCCTACTGTCACAGGGCAAGCAGAAGGCTGCACCGATTGCCAGCGCTGGTGCTTCATCCCATCATGTGAGTGGATTTCCCGTTTCCTGGCTGAGACGTCTAAGTGTGGCAGAGACTGCAAGTTGATTTCCTAACAACCATTCCCCCCTTCTTCATTAACAGAACTGAACCCTCTTTTTATTCTAAGTGACAATGTGCCCAGCCAAGACTACATTTCCCAGACTTCCTTGCAGCTAATTACTCACTGGGGCCCTTTCCAGGAGAGACTTCAAAAGGGCTAACTCACCTGGAAGCTTGCTCTTTTCCCACTGCCTTCCTCCTGACTCCTGCCTAGAACAGTTACAATTAGACAAAGCGATGAAACTGAGGCCCATGTTAAGGCCGTGGAGAAGGACTGGAGCCTGGGTCCCTGATGGTACAAAGCCACCATACAAAGCCTAGCCTGCCCACTCTGCACGTGCCACTGACTGGTACCCACTAGCAAAGACAAAAGCCCTCAGTCCCTATTTCCTGAACCGCCTTTCAGTGCTTTCCTGACAATAATTTCCTGTGAATTCCTCTTTGTGGCTGATTAGCTCACTAATCTAAAATAACTAAAAGCAACATGGTCTGGTGCTAAGAATGAAAGGAAACCTGAAACGCATTTCTAATCTGTTCAGAAGGGGAAAGCTCTTGAAATGATTAGTCTTTAACACTGACAAGTTACCTATTTCCTTTTAAGTAACTATTTTGCCTTAAAGGGGAAACAGTATCAAGGTCCTTCATCCAAATGGCAGCCCTCAGGGCGGTGGCTCAGAGCAGTCTTCAAATGGAGTGAAACAACCAGTTTTCACTGGAAATCGAAACATTACACCACCAACACAGCACAGGAGACCAATATAATTAAGGACAGTGTGGAGTTAGAGATTCACCCTTCTAGCAAGTGTAAACAATAGAAGGAAATGGGAATATATTTTAGAATACTAGAGCAAGGAAGCCCATCACTTTACAAACAAGAACGCCTTACCATTTCTCTGAATTACTCAAGATTCAGAGCACTTTGTGACAAACATCACCTTGCTCAATTTTTTCATTACATTTCTCACTCTCAGATTATCCTCATCCCCACTAAAAGTAGAGACCAAGTTTGTCTTGTTCACCATTCTCTCCCCAGGACCTACAATGCTCAACAAATACACTCACTCCCCTTAATTACCTAGTCTACTGGCCTCCCTGGCTCTACTTCATTTCCATCCCAACCCACTTCATCCCACTGCAGCCAGAGTGGGCCTTAAAAACATTTAATTTACTGCATCTTCCTCTTCTCTTCCCTCCCAGAATCCTCCAGTAGTTAGGTAACTGGTGAGAACATCACTAAAGGGTCTTGGCACTCTGCTTTTCTGTATCCCCCAGAAGTCCATAGGTTCCAGGAAGCCAAGAACCGTTTCTTTTCAGTACCAGGCACTTAAAAAAAAAATCCCATGATGTATGACTGAAGAGGCCGTATCACTGCAGGTTAAATGTTTTATACATTGAACACACACATCTGTTTACTGAATAAAGGATTCCATTGCCAAGCCACTATTTAGAATGAAGCACTGCGCTTTTCTAAGCTGGAAGGAAGCCTAAATTCAGAAACTCAAGAATTCCCCTGGCACACATAAGTTCTTGCATAGACAATCCTTATCAATGTTTAGGCATATAACATTTGCACCGGAGTGTAAGAAACACTCCACTGCAAGGAAAAGCTTTTTTTTGGAAAAAGAAAAAGTAAAATACTTCCTGTCACACATATATTGACAGATTTCAAAGTAGCTTTGTGAATGGATCATATCATCATCGTCCCTTAACACAAGGTTTTTTAAACTGTGGATCTTGACCCATCAGCAGTCATGAAATCAATTTAGAGGTCTGATGAGGATTAAACAAATAACGGGAACTAGAAAATACCAAAGTGCATTACACACAGTATTAGTCTTGTAAAACTGTCAGAACTCTAAACTTTGCATATACAGGGTTATATGAAATTTCTTACTGGGTGCTAGAAAAAAAAGTTGGGAAACTGTGTCCTCTGGGAAGTGACATTTCTGTTTGCTGGGATTATTATTAAGTTTCTCAGCTGGAGGCTGAGGGGCATATCAAGCTGTTTTGTCTAAAGGTGCATTTTCAGTCTTTATTTTGCTAGTATAAAATCCATTATTTCACATCTTTGGTGCCCCCTAGCCCATTTTGGTGAGGAGAGGGTGAAAAATGCATTTCGCCATGCTGCAAATGCCAACACTTCAATTACCTGGATGCTTTTTAAAATAATGGTAGTAAAACAGAGTTGAGTCCAGTAAATTTAACTTTTCTTGATTACTCAGAAATGGCATGAAGTAAAACAGGAAGCATCCATGAGGCTCCTTGTATGGGAAGCCAGTTTTCTCAGGTGTGCAGATTCTGATTAAGTAGATCTGGGCCAATGCCTGAGATCCTGAATTTCTCCAAGCTCTCAAGTAATGCCAATGCTGCCTGAGGCCATACTTTTGAGTCCTAGACAGCCCCCAGGGCTGCAGGCAGGCCTCCTCTGTACCATACACCTGGGGCCACAAGCTCCAAATGCAACTGGGTGGGACCCACAGATTCCCACAGGTAGGAATCATTTGAAAACCTCAGAAAAGAATGAGTCTAAAAAAATTTACAGAAGCAGCACAAATAGATTCTTAGCCTCTACCACCGTAGCTCATCAAGTAGGACAGGCAATTCAACCTGTTCCTGGCAAAGCTGTGTGTACAGGCCCCACTCCACCAGTAGCCTGGGGAGAACTGTTTCAGGGCTCCTCTTCCCGGTCACACTCTCTCCCTCTGGTCATCCATCTACAGGACAAGTGGGAGGGTGCAGGAGCTGGCAACACTAACACAATCCCCTCAGAAGCTGGAGACAATGCCAACCACCTCCTCTTTTCACATTGCTAGCGGCACAGAAACAGGACGAGATGGTGACAAAGATATTAAATTCTTTAGATACAGATGCTGAGCAAATGGAAGATAGCAATTTTTTCTTCTCACAGTTGAGACCTTTGTACCCCCTCCCTCATGCCTCTGTCACCTGTCACATTTATACAGACTGGTTCCACAAAACACTTTTTAAATGTGCATTTCTTTAATCTTTAAAAATATACACAGGATAAGCCATGTGTTTTACATAGGAATACACACATTAACAAAGCATTTCTTACAGTTTTCCAAAACCCTATTATATCAGTCTGAAATTTATAAATTAAATACACCAGAACTTTTTAAGTTAAAATGGAATCCCTGAAACTACTGGGTATGCTAGATTTTTTTCCAAAATCAAATGACAGAGAATATGAATATGGTTTGTGTTAAATAAGGTTTATTGTTAGCTTTATTGCCTATAGTCTATAAGATGCAACTTTATTGTGCCTTTGCAAACAGGATACATTTCTTAAAAAACTGATCA